TAACAAATCGTGTGGTAAAATGTATTCATCTTATCCTGTAAATGCTATTTCCAATGAGTTATTAAAATGTATTCAGGAAAAACAAAAATGTAGGCGTGTTGAAAAAAACGTCAATCGATTATTATGATTCCCTTATCAATAGAAAAAAGTGACTCTGTGAATAATAATTAATGCATAAAGAAATGTTCAATTCTTACATGGTATGGATTATTTACATGAATAAATATTTAACGAGATTGAACTAATTTGATCCATTTGACATTTTTTAAAATTTTATTAAGGTCACATTGAGAAGCCTTAACAATGTATGCAACCTTTGTTATTCAGTTCATACTTCCCTATTGATTTCTACTTTATTTTCGACCAGATGCCTGATTCTACATTGACTCCATACGCAACATAAGGCACAATAATATCCGGCTCTCCAACACTGATGTTGAATCATTGTCTCTGTGTGTGGTTGAGAGACCTGACACACGCATCACCGAAAGTATTTTCAACAAAATGATGCAGAGTTTCATCAACAGCTGCCTTTGTGGGCTCCACACTTAAGATCAGAATAGCCATCAAGGAATTAGCAGCATGAAACTCTGCCAATTAATCAACCTAGACCCCATTACCCAAAAAATATGCAGAAGGAAGTGTAGAGGGATTGAACATATATCAAAGAGGCCGCTAAGTGACATCACGCATTCAGGCCCTCGACCAGTCGAAGCCAAATATGAAAAAAACGAGCTGAACATCCAAGGGGGACATAGGGTTCATGTGAGGAGGAAATAAAAGCTTACGGGCAACCGTAGAGCAGCTAAAAACGAATTATTGAGGACAGAGTGAAATGCAGTTGTGGTGCTGAAGCCCTACGTTCAATTTGAAACTCAGGAGAATGGTAGTAATGATGATAATAATAGTAACAGTCAATTCACTAGATTAAGATGTTTCTTGTACTTTTTTTCTTACTGTCTTCAGTTCAAATATTTTAGGGTTTCTACTTCGCCTCGAGAACTGCTGTGATATTGTTTGTTCATGTGTATTTAAACTGTTTAAGATATGTTATACCATTCGATCTCTAGTTGATGCATATCATTTATTTGTGACTGAATACTAGTAAGTAACTGGTGTAATGTGTCTAGTCTTATCTTCGGTGCAGACCGAATTCTATCAGTCAAGTTTGCAATATAGCCACCGTTCTAGATAGCTCGCCATCACGGTGCACTGTGAACTGTTGGTATTAGATGGCTGGACACAGTCGGCTGGAAGCCTTGAATACCTAGGTTTCGTGCTAGCTGACACTCGTCAGCAAGGCGTATCTACAACCTCGAAGGAACTCATGTCCCTTCTGAGATTCCAACCTGCGTTACCCAGTGCTACAGTCAGAGAAGTTACCACTAAGCTATTCGGGTTCGAATCTCAGAAGGGACATGAGTTCCTTCAAGGTTGCGGATATGCCTTGCCGGAGAATGTGAGCTACCACGAAACCTAGGTGTTCAAGACTTCCTACCGATTGCCTCCAGCCATCTAATATCAATAATTTATTTGTATCATCTGATGTCTAAATTTAGCAGACGTGTGATGTTCTCAGTCAATGCAATCAATTTTGTATGTTACACTTCTACTGTCCACTTCAAGTGGTTAGTTATTCGAAGTATTTCGCACTGATTTAATTAGTGTTTGCAATATATCACTAATGAACGGAAAAAGCAGCCCAACGACACCCCTCTTAACTCTTACGATATGCGGAAAAAAGATATAGAGTTAAAGAGATTTTTGTTCATGAATATTATCCAAAGCATTACTGGTAATTAACACCATTTTTAAAATTAGTTTGTTTTTCAGACTTACATTATTTTGAGTAGTACTTTAAAACTTGATATAGTACTTCTTTTAATATATTTAGTTATCCCTATTTTAGTTTAAAATTTCGCTTAAACATAACTCATATTCTGCATACTTGAATTTACAAGGTAACACTGACCATATATTTGAAGACGATTTTTTAAATTGTCTCATTTATAGAAGTGAACATTTTTTCTCTCTCAATAATTTCTAACGTTTAAAAAATCTAGTCCTTCTCTACCTCCTTCTCTTCATGTTTTCCAGACAACCAAAAATTCTATCATTCCACAGACCAATATCAGTTAAAGAACCACTGAAAACTAGGGAGTACTGGATAGCTGTTTCCTCCGTCCTAGTGTGGGACCCAGGATGTCCCGGTCACAATGTAAACTCGTAGACCATTCAGCCACTACGACCCGATCCAATGGCTAGTGAATTCTAACTCTTACCAATTCGTGATTTTAGCATGACCACTAGCCAATGTTATCGGCAAGTATTTGTCCACACACTAAGCCACGTGGACCCCACTGTTCACTGAATCTTGTCCCAGTGGCTGATTGGTCTACGAGTTTAAGTTGTAACCGGAAGGTTCTGGGTCCAAGACCCGGTGGGTGCGCTCTACTGACGAGTCGCAAACTAGGGCGAAGAAGCTGTCAATCGTTCTATAACTGACACTAATTCATGACCGAACTTGAAACAAATCGAATCCCTACAAACTAACTCTGCAGCTTTAACAAATGTATACTAATACAACAGAATTAAAATTAAATTTGGGACGAAAGTCATGATGCAAAATGAGCAAGCACCCTCCTCGTTGCTTACTCAACTAAAACATTTAACAACCGGCCAGGTCACAGTTCAATTAAAGTCATTTTGGTGGTTTTGATTGCACCGCTATCTTGCATTTCCCTTCAACATGAGTCATCACACCCCCCCAAATACACTTAAATGATTATTCCAAACTAAAGCTGCCTCAGATACTTTCAACAGCAGTCAATAATTCATCCTTACTACTTATTCGGAATTACTAAGGAATGACTGCAGCCTCTGTGATAACAGTGGATAGATAGCTACGTATCACCCATTCAAATAATGAATCCTGGTTGGTATCTGAGTTTCTTAGTGTACTCTATAAGGCATCAAACTTGTGGTCTTGGTGAATTCTGAAGTGATCTTGGTGTACTTCCTAACTTTGATAATAACTTCATAAAATTTAATTTCTATAACAACATTATTTTCAACACATCTATTCAAGACAATCCATTCCAGAGAAAATTCAGCTTCTACAGGTCCTTCAGTATACTTAAAACTAAATTCGAAGAATTACAGGCGAAAACCAATAAGATGGCAGGAGAAACAGCAAAGACAAAACTTCACGCAAGCATAGAAATAATGGGGGTGATAAAAATAACCTATCACCTGACAACAACAACACCAACAAGCACCAATCACTATCAACGGAAAAAAATTAAAAGAGATCACTTCTTATCCGGCCAGGCAGCATCGTTTCAAATACAGCCGAATCCACAGATGAGGATATCAACACCAGAATCAGGAAGGTAAGGCAGACTTTCATCCCTTTGAAATCATTGCGGAAATCTTCTACGCTCAGCAATAAAGAACAAAATTTGGATTCTCAATATCAGTATTAAGTCAGTATTTCTATATAGGCACGTCACGGAAAGCATTTCCAACAGCCCTTCCTGGCTCGAAACTTCAAATTTGCCGGGCAGAAGGGATAAGAAACAAAGGATTCTGGCAGTGCATATAAAAATGATCACGAACCTGTCTCTCAACAAATGAGTCGAAGAGAATGCAGATGAATCGGACACAAACTGAAGAGAACGACATTATGGGGCAGGCCCTTGAGTAGAACCCCAGTTAGGTGAGAGTCCAAGGGTGACACGGAAGAGGCCATATGAGAAGGAGATGAAGGCTTATGGATAACCATGGAGCCACGTGGAGAAGACTACAGAGAACAGGAGAAAGCAGGGATTTGTTGTTGAAGCTCTGCGTTTCACTCAAAAACTAAGGGAATAATAATCATACTAAAAACTGAATATTAAATAGTTTTACTCAGAAATCAATATGTACAAGACCGATCTATCTCATGCAGGTTTAGAAATCAATGTTCAGAGTAGCTTAGTATGTATATAAAGCTGACGAAATCTATAAAATAAAACAACTAAATTTATCATGACTAGCTTACAGCTAAAATAAGGTAACCATAGAAACTGAAATTTTAACAGCATAGAACATGTTCTCTAATGCAATTCTGACTCAACGCATATATCTGTATAAATACACTGAAATATTTCTTTCCTGATTGACTAATCATCATTTAATATGCATTTCAAATGTTGTATAAAATATGTTGATAACTTTGAAAAGTGTAATTTTCACGAACTTGTAAATATGTATTTATGTTTAATAAGACGAATATTAAGCAAAATAAAACAACATATACATGCATAAGCTACTGAGTATCAGATGGCATTGTACTTCAGTCGTTATTATCAATTAAATTCTGCTTATCAGTATGATCAGAAATGCAAGTGCTATTGGATAAATGAAAGCACCCTTCAAAAGTGTCTGAAGGTGGATTTCTAGCTAATACCAAAAGTAAGGAATATTTACATTAACTGGGTTCTGTAGGGATTGAAAATAATTTGCGTGTTTCGTCCCAGTTTGGGACTCTTCAGTGATAAGCGTTCACAACCCTTCGTAGATATCGAATCCTGGACTTTCATGTTAGGATGCCAAACTCGTTGACCATTCAGCCACTTCAACCGGAATTAAATGTGAAGTGGGTACTAATCGAAGGCATTAGTGAGTGTTGCTCTATGTCACGAATTCACAGTGTTAGAATTCACAGCTCAGTGGATTCTATTCTGGATGGTTGAACTGTCAGTGAGTTTCATCTAGTAACATGAAGATTCCAAATTCAATCCACGGAGGGATAGTGGTTGTGAAACAAGGAAGAGTTTCAAGATGGGATGTAACAGGTCTCCAATGCTTCATGGTTTTCACTGATCTCCCTAACTAATGTTGGTTCGTGATGACACCTCACTGTGCGCAAACAAGCATTATAATCAAACGTTATTTGATATACTCTGGGAAAGTAAAAACTAAAGGCAAGTCAACGCACACTGTGCAAAAATATTTACCTGTGGGACAACTCCAAGAGATTGACGTAATGAAGCTTGTGTAACTGACTTGATATTTTGATCATCAATTAATATTTCACCGTCTGTAACATCATAAAAACGAAATAACAGTCGGACAATAGTTGATTTTCCGCTTCCTGATTCACCGACCTTTTTCAAACAACAAAACAGGATAATTCAAGAGAGGTCAAATTATACAAATATCATGAAGAAGATTTAAGTGAAGCAAGAAATCACTAATTAATTGTAAATGGAAAAATTAAGGCATAAAATACTTAAATAATAATAATAGTAATTTTTGCTTTATTCCAAAAACAGTACTAATGATACAGCAAAGAATTTTCAGCATTCAGTACAATATTGCATCTAATTTACTGAAAACGACAAAAAAAATAAACATTACATAATAATAATAACAAAATGTTGTTATAGCAGCTATGTAGCAAATTACAGTATGCGATAAGGAGAAAATATGCATAAAGTATAAAGTTGTGGTAATAATAGTAATAACAACTAAAATAAAATCGCCAAGTTATAATTAAACGATAGAAAGGGTGACACCAAAAAATTACAGAAAGATGAACGATGAAAGGGCCGATTCACTTTGCCAATTACATAGTAACTTATATGTTTCACGTCTAAAGGTGTCTTCATCACATAAAATACGGGCTAAATAGGGTATTGCAGAATTTTTGTACTTAGTGATTTGAGCATTTGGATGGATTTGAACGAGAAAATATTTAAAGAGGAATCATTAAGATTTTATTTCTTTATTTTGATGACAGCTTGATTCCACACTGTATTTTTGGTACAAGTATAAAATTTTCAGAATGTGATATCGGTAACCCAAATTTTGTAGGCCGACCATTGATATCAGGTGTGCGTCAGCGGGGGCTCGAACCCCGGACCATGTGCATGGTCGACGAGAGTTCTAACCGCTGTGCCACGACGCACAAACTCAGAGGACAATCTACGGAAGACTGAAAAGTTTATGATTTTAAGTTATATTCGCCAATAAGCAGTCAGGGACTAACACATAAAGGCTAGTAGGGGGTAGAAATTCAGAAATCTATAAAGAAAGAAAGTCTTTAGACACATGTAGGCATGAACAGCAAATCAAATATTTAGTTTTCAGGAAAAAGCCCAACATTATTTTCCTGGGAATTTCCAGAGATGACAATCTGTATAAAACACTAATACGTGCCTCACACTATGCACCGTTTACACAACTGAATTTTAACAAAGACACTCTCTGTCGAATCTGAAGAATTTCAGTTACCAATCGACAGATTTAGATATTTTTCAAATATAGATTTTTGTAGGGATTATTGTTTGACTGGTTGGAGGATTTTATCATGAACTGACATCAGTCAGAGAACTATTGGAAAACCTGCAGGGACTACTGGATGGTTGTTTCGTCCTAGTTTGAGACTCTTCACCTGTGCCCTGATATCGAAAGGTCGAAATATTATATTTATAATAAAATGCATAATGCCAATCCCTTTATTTGCCAACTTGGAATACAGTTGTGAACTTTAATGTAAACTCTGACTGTAAGACTTTAAGTATGCCCTGATTACGTAAGAAATTAGATCAACAATTTTTACGAGGATGAGTCTAGTGGCAACAATGTGCATCTATAAATTTTATCTATCCTTGCTGAGGCGGTTATATAGATGGAATGACTCGGAAAGCCTGCCGTCACCATCCTGAGCATCGTCCAACGTGATTAGTTAAAGCAGACGTGAAGTCAATCTGGAGTCCCATATTGGCATATACCTAGGGGATACGGATCAGAAGATTGATACAATGTCAGGCTTTACAATTCTATACAAGTTAACACCTCAATTACCTAAATTTGTATGCCTTTGATTACTAGGTATAAGTAAGGCAGTCGCCATAAAAGTTTTCATCTCAATATTTTTGTTCGGAAGAAGTTTTTTCAATCCATCTTCCTCCCTAGGCCTTCAACTTAAATTAAAATATCAATTAGATGCTCACTAGCGACTTGCCCCATTCAGCTACCTGGGGTTCTAGTGAGAAGTCGTGACCAGTAGGGTACAGCAGGTCAGCTGTGAGGACAAATACTCGCCGAAGACACTGGATAGCGGTCGCGCTATGTCATTCATTGGCAGAAGTTAGAATTCGCGGGTCATTGGATCGGGTCCCAGTGGCTTAATGGCATACGAGCTCGCCAGTCTTGTAACCAGAAGGTCCTCGGTTCGAATCCCGGTGGGTGCGTACTGATGAAGAGTCCCAAACTGGTTTGACAAAACAGCTGTCCAGTACTCCCTGGTGTGGTTTTCTAATGGTTCTCTAACTGATGTCAGCTCATGATGAAATCCTGTAACCAATCAAATCCCTACAAACCAACACTTGAATATCAAATTAAAATAGTTATCCGGGTTATTATTTTTACTATTATTATTCCGAATATGTTTGATTGTATTGATGGTGGTGGTTTTTCTTTCCTATATTTTGATATAATCTTTCGAGGGTAACTGTTTTCAACAAGGTGGTTTTCTATTTTTTTGAGATGTATGTAGTTGAAGAGAATCCATGAGATGAAACCAGCTTACCTTACCTAGAAATGCGTTCGCTTTTGCGTTTTTAAAACTAATCAAGGGAACCGTTCGTATTGTGGGAATGTATTGAAAATACATATTTGCTTGCTTAAATCGTGTTCTGAAGCGGAAAGTATCTTGTTATATTAACGAGTCAACGTGAAAAAGAACACATTAGTAACAGATTAGCAAACAAACACAGAATAGTTATTCAGTTTGTTGTTTTTCATATGAACTGCTTTGTTTATTCATTAGCCTGTCATCTCTTAACGGAAAAGAAAATCCCTCATAGACACCAGTTATATTGAGGTTTCTATGCTGGATATAACATACCATATAATATAGTGGAAAGCAACTATTTAATTATTGTTTATTGATTTTATTTCTTTGAGTCCTGAGTGCAACATGAGACATAAAGCTTCAGCTTTTAGTACAAATGGTGTTTGTTTTGATTGGATACTGGTAACTAGTGTGATATGTCTAGTACATTCTTTGATGTAGACTGAATTCTCTCAGTCAGGTTGGCAATGTTGCTACCATTATTAGAATGGACACGAGTTCCTTCAAGGTTGCAGACACACCTTGCTGACTGGTGAGCGCCAACTAGCACGAAACCTTGTTGTTCAAGGCTTCCCATAGCCGATTGCCTCCAACCATCTAATAATGGTGTTTGATTCTTTATGAGGTAAGACTGTTATAGCCTCGCACCCAACCTTCCCTATTCACCCCAATTCAACCGGAGATCGAACCTCGGACCATGTGTGACATAGACGAAGACTATCCTACCCCTGAACAACCGAAAAAGTATAACTAACTTAATTTATTTCAGTAACAGGTAAATAATAGTAAAAATTATTCGTATATTTTGTCAACTAAATATCACCACTAAATGTATGTACTGAAATTCCATTGAACATTTTGCTTATTTGGAGAGTAAGAGAAAGCAGTCGAGTAGTCTATTGACCATATAACAGTCTATTTCTTATTGTTCATCTGACTTAAATATTATGCATTTATCTTGTTGATTGTCTAGTAATTAAATCCATATATAAAGATTGTAAAATTGTTTTCTAATCACTGACAAGTATCAATTACCTTCTAAATTCAAAAATACAACAATAAACGAGAAAAACAAATATTTTCTTCACTGATAAAGAAAACTAAAACTATTAAAGAATTTATTGTTTGAACAGATAAAGGTGGATGTGAATATCGTTGACTTTTTTATGCTTAGGTGTTTATACTACTCATAAGTAGTTTGTGTTCAATAATACTTTTAAATTGCCCGTCTGCCAATTTAAAGCTCATCTGATCGTTTTAAAGGCTGTTTTTATTTTTCACTCAAGATTTACCTACGATAGTAAGTTCAATGTTTATCGTTATTTTATCAAATGACTGGTGTGAACAAACACTAAGTAGCATAGTTGGCAGTATATATATATATATATATATATATATATATATATATATGCAAAAGAAGGATATTCATTCAGACATCTACAAAATAATTGAACAAAGGATATCCTTTTCGATAATTTCCTCTTCTGGTTCTACAATTATATATATGTTTATATACCAACAACAACAACAACAGCAGCAACATCCAGCGCCAATCACCATCAACGGGAGGGATTTGAAGGAGGTTACTTCATTCACTCACTGATCTAGGAGCATTGTCTCAACTACAGGAAGTCGGAACGGACGAGGATGTCAAATAGAGCGAGAATCGGGAAGGAGAGAAACACATTCATCAACCAACTGAAACCAATCTGGAAATCTTCGTCACTCAGCATCAACAACAAAATTCAGTCGGATACTCAATACAAACGTCAAGTCAGTCAGTTCTTCTATACGGATCAGAAACTTGGCGGGTGGGTCATAAAGAATATTTCCAACAGCCTGTTGCAAACCACACCTTTATCAACCAACAACTGTCTTCGCTGGATCTATACTGAAGATCAGATGGCCTCACCGGAAAGAATCACCAACAAGAAACTATGGCTGGGAACAAACAAAACGAGAACCAATCGCCAACCGACAAATATGCAGGAGAAAGTGGAGATGGATTGGACGCTCACTCACTGAGGAGGCCGCTAGGCGACATCGCGCGCGCGTCAGGCCATTGCTCGAGTAGAACCAGGCCGAAAGGGAACTGGCGAGTGGGACGTCAGTGCAATGGTGACATGGAGGAGATCGCGTGTGAAGAGGAGTTGAAACAGTATGGACTAACATGGATGCAAGTGAAAAGTAGAGCAGAAGACAGAAGTGTCACGTGGAGACGTGCAGTTGAAGCCGTATGTTCCACTAGGAACCCAAGGGAACAATAATAATACAATATACATAGAATATTGTAGATTAGTAGTCAATAGCAACATTACCGTTTTTTTAAATAATATCGATTTGTAAATTAAGATCACAATGGAATTACAGTGTGGAAATCTTATGCATTCGGTCACCATTAAGAAAAAGATTCGGATTTTTAGCAACAATATCACATCAGTGCCTCTATATAGTTCAGAGATTTGGTGCGTCGCGTAAAGCATTCCAAACAGGCGACTGATGACATCTATCAAAACTGACTTCGCT